TGAAGTAGCAACTCCAAAAAACAGAAACTTGCTTCGATGATCAGAAGGTCGAGGAATCCTAGATCTGATTCCGACAAAAATTCGACAGTTCATCAGTATCGTCTGTCTGCCAACTTTGTCGAACATTTCACGCTGCCTACAGATCGCATGAAAATTCGAAATTCGATTCGCACGAGACGGGTTTTGCTAGGGTATTTCGGGTGCGTAACTCGTGTAGACACGTAGCTGCGGATCGTAGCTATGGGAGGTCTATGGACGTGACCAGAAGCTGTCAACATCACTCTCCGCTGACGAGAGACAAACTCGATCACGGTTTAAGCCCGCCTCAAAAATCCTGGTTTCCTTCGAACGGCGACAAAATAGATCCGGTCTTGTGAAGCGCTCGCTGCGGTCGGAACGAGATCCCATCCCAACCCCCCACACCCCTTTACGAAATATCCGTAAAACTGCAAAGATCTTTTGGATCTCAATGCAACAAAACCACCATTTACCAAGATCTGTTTCCTCGCTACTAAACGTAGCGTTTTACTAAATTGGAAACAACCGAAAGAATTCGAAGAATTTGATATTATCAGTAAGAGACAGAAGATCGTAAAGTTTGGATAATTCTCGAATTTGAAAGTTAGGAAAATTTGAGAATTGAGACACTGAAAAATTGGGAATTTTAATTCTGAAAGAGATTGTTAACATGGGAAAAAGAAATTGACTTAAAAATATCCAATTTATTGATGAGAAATTCTAGAAATTGCAAAGATTATGCTACAATTCCAACAAAGCGTTAAGATTCGTTTCTTTATACTTATTTTATAATTTATATAAAAAATATATATATAAATATAAATATAAAAATATATGTAAAATATATTATACGTATAAATATAAATATAAAAATATATGTAAAATATATTATACGTATAAATATAAATATAAAAATATATGTAAAATATATTATACGTATAAATATAAATATAAAAATATATGTAAAATATATTATACGTATAAATATAAATATAAAAATATATGTAAAATATATTATACGTATAAATATAAATATAAAAATATATGTAAAATATATTATACATATAAATATAAATATAAAAATATATGTAAAATATATATAAATATAAATATAAAAATATATGTAAGATATATTATATATATAAATATATATAAAAATATTATACATTTAATATGATATAGTATAGTATACATACGTCTCCAATAAATAACGCGTTATTATCTGCGTCCGAAGCTCGAGGCAATCGTATGCTTATTAACTTGACGCAGGAAGACTGTTCGCAATCTACCCCCTCAAACAATACTGCAAATAGATTGTTAGGAAACAGTCGTCTAAACGTCACCTAATGGCTCGTCAGATAAGATAACGCAATTTCACGATCGACCGTGATTCCTTGAAAAGATGGCCACCAGAGGGTGACGACCTACTGAACCGGAGGGTCGTCTGTCGTAATTTAGAAGGGACGAATCTTGTATATGGGGTATGATCCTTCCATCGAAGGTATAAATTGGATATTAATATTTAATGAACTCGCTCCGATCCTGAGAGAGGAAGAAAATGATCGATCTTACGATTTGATAGGGGTTGATTTTTATTCATCAATTTTTCTTTCTTCAAATATATAAAATATATATATATATATTTTTTTTATCCGAATGAAATTTGATTTGAATTTTTCGTGAGTGCAAAAGCAATTTTTCAAAAAAGAAATATATATATATATATATATATATATATATATATAAATATATATAATGTAATACATATATATATATATATTTTTTTTTTTTGGAAAATTGCTTATACACTCACGAAGAATTCAAATTGTTTAATAAATTGCGCGGATTTTCGTAGGTCGAAAATATTTTAACTTCCTTCTGCCCTTCAGAAACGAATCGGACGGAACGAAAAGTTAAGGGAAAATCGAAGAAGAAAAAAAATCCAAGTTGGATTATTCAACGTGCTGATAGTTATCTGTGACTACTTGACCATCAAAAAAAGCTAAACGCTCCCCGGTTATAGGTTTACAGGTAGATAATATAACGCTTAAATATTTTATATTTTCTGAAAGAAACCCTCGTACCCCGACTCCATTGATAGTCCTTTCCCTAAATTTTTTCGATGATTTTTTTACGAGCTGCCGACAAAACGACTCGTTTTATATTTTATGACAGATTTACACGATAAACGTGGTGATTGTCTCTTTTCTTACCCTTCATCCTCCGCAGCTTGAAAAATTTTATGATTTTACGAGTGACACATATCTTGCCTCCTCATTGCAGCTGCAATTTCGTTTTACAACTGCCTATTGACAACGTTGTCTGTCAATAAAATTTTTCAGCATGCACTATACCTTTTGCAATCATTTTAATAATAACAACAACAACAACAATAATAATAATAATAATAATAAAAATAATAATAATTATATTAATAGAAATAATAATAATTATATTAATAAAAATAATAATAATAATATTAATAAAAATAATAATAATATTAATAAAAATAAAAATAATAATAATAAAATGTTTTCTAACCGTAATCTAATTAAAAATTCAGCGAAGTACGACCGTCTCAAAACTGTTACTTTCTCTATTGCTATCTACTTATTATTATCTACTGATTGCCCATTGTAAGTCTTGAATTTTTGCACGTAATTTAAAAAATTGCAAAATATGTACAGGGTGTGTCGTTTAAATTAAATATCTCACAAATTAATTTTTTTTTTTAATAAAGAACGTTGAGCTGCGTCGACTGATGTAATAATAAAAAAAACATATGATTCCAAAAAAATGAATTTGACCTTGAGATCTCGAAGAAGTGAGATCTGAGAATCGTCATAAGTTGTCCCCTTAGGGTTAATGAAATATATTCTATCTCATATATATATATGTATTGTAAATTTAAAATTTTAATAAAAGTGTTAACGGGATTTTTTTACGGGACCCTATAGAATTTTATACGAATTTATAATGCGATTTCTTACAAAATCGCAACAACTTCGATGCTTTATGGGAATCGCTATCAATCGTATTATCACCATAAAGTGTAGAATTGACAACAGTCGGTGATAGAGTGAACGACAGAGTGCGATCAATCTTGTAAAAACTGAAGGAATTGTTCGGTCTATTTGTGAACACGTTTGCTCACTCTAGCGCGGCACCCCATACAATCCGTAAGGGGGAATGAGTGGAGCGTGGGTGGTTCACACAGTTAAACCTCAATTGTGGGGGTCAAACGGGTGGCATTTATGCGGAATTATCTCGTTTCCCCAGTTGAATCGTTCGAATGAGTTAATTGTCCACAGCACATCCCTTCAAGAAGGACGTAAACGACACCCTTCGACTTGATTTACCGTTTAAGCTATTTATATCTATCTATTCGACACATGGTGTAAACTTGCTCTCCTATATTCCCTCGGAAAGCTACTAGTTTTTGTCTGGCGTTCTCGTTTAGGCGGACTAGCCCCTGATTCTTTGTCACCGTCTTGTCATTTGAAAATTTAATATTCAGTTCCATAAAGAAATAATTCCGGTGAATAGAAAATAAAAGTTGTTTATGCGAAATTTTATTTCTTTTTTTTTTTCAAAGAACTTGATCTTAAATATCTGACTTTGGGTTTGTTTTAACGTAGAGCCAGTATGTTCACGTGGAAGAAATTTCATTGTTTCATAATTTTAATTTTATTGCTTACCTTTATTTATAAAATTCTTTGATAAATTGGATAAATAATAGCAATGAATAAAAACGATTTATTCTAAGAAACGTAACGGTATTGAAAGCTCATTTAAATTTTACATATCACAGTCGCGATATTAATAAACGTGAAAGTAAACAAACGAATGTGAAATTTCTCGTCTTCTATCATACCAGACGAGGTTGTTCAGTAACTCTGTAGGAAATGAGAATCATTCAAAATTGTAAGTATTATGGATTAATTAGAATAATCACTTATAATTTGGAAAATTATAAATTATTTATAATTAAAGGGAATACATCAAGGAAAGTCAAAATTACTTCTGTTTACATGTATACATTATATTCATATACATATAAAATTATACATTTATATATATTAATGTATATGTACATAAATATATTTGTATAGTCATATATAAATGTTTATAAACATTCACATAATTCATATATAAATGTTTACAGACATTCATATAATTCATATATAAATTTTTATAAACATTCATATAATCCATATATAAATGTTTATAAACATTTATATAAATGTTTATATTTATATATACTTATATATAAATGTTTATGTTTATATATATTTATATATAAATTATATTTATATATAATGTTTATATGTTGTATTTGTATATAAATGCCTATATTTTATATGCATATATATAATGTATGTATAATTTATTATATAGTAGCTCTATTGCTAACGTATATACATATATTCAATACACAATTATATATTTCGTTTCTTTGACTACGGTAACTTATTGGATTACGAAGATATCAACTAGGAAAAGGAGATATTCACAAAAATTTATGGATGGTAATTGTAATAAATTATTTAAAACTCTAAAATCTGTACAACAGCTAGATCGCTAGATAATAAAATTTTTCATGAAGCATTAGTATTATTCAGAAGTTTTTCAATTCATGCGATATAGTGTTGATAAACAGGTACAAGATTAAAATCAATCGCGAGTATCTCACATTTTATTATTTATTCTATTCCGTTTGCCGAAGTTCATAGATTCTCAGTCTTATGAATAAATAAATACGGAAAGGAAAGAAAGAAAGAAAGAAAGAAAGAAAGAAAGAAAGAAAGAAAGAAAGAAAAATAGATAAAATCAAGTGTGACGGCCATAAATCCCCGCGCAGCGCCTAAACTAAATCTAATACGAACTAAATAACAATGAAATGATTAGATGTACATGCTTCGCCATACTTTCCAACTTGCATTTGTATTCGTTTCGTACACGTTCGTTTGTTGCACGATGCACGGTGACAAGTATCTAGTCATAATACTGGTACTATAACACAACGAATCCCATCGAATGCATTATCCTCGATAACGCTATAATTAGCGTTCTTGACGATCGGTCGTCCACGATCGATCTTCAATTAATTTCTCACTTTAAATGTCTTGGTTTGAATTTTTCTTTTTCTTCTTTTTCTTCTCTTCTGCTTTACGCCCTTTCCGATATATCGTTCTTATACGGTTGAAACAACTTCGGTGCCTCTTTCGTCGGCGCGGTGACGATCGCGCCGTACGAGGTACTGCTGTCGAACGGCTCTATGCTCTGGATATTGCCAGAGAGGCCAGCGATGCTGATCCCGTTGGCTAGGTTGCCCGATTGCGCGCTGTTAGGTGTCGGGCTCTTCTCGTGTATCCGTTGATGTGGCTGGCAGGTGTGGTGGTGGTGATGTGGCTGCTGATGGGGCTGCGTCGCGACGCAGTCGCAATCGCTCGATGTGTCCGACTGAGCCGGGCTCAGCTCCGGGAGCATCGTTGGTCGGTAGGAGCTCGCCGGGGTTACGGGTGGGCTGTTCACCTGTGGGAAGGCGGTGTTCCCGACCGTAGATACGCCCAGGCTTGACAGATGCAGGGGTTGCAACGTGGGGTGAGGTTGCAGGAGATGGGGATGCGCCGGATACGCAGTCGCTGCGCGCGGATGCGGCCGATGAAGGGACGCGGTGTTCGTCGTCGGGTTAGCGCCCGAATATGGCGTGTACCTGACCGCGTAGTAGGCGGCAGCTGCGGCCGCTGGGTAACCGGGCGCCAGATGGGTCGGTGGTAAACCTGGTGTTCCAGGGTGGTACGGTGACGGCGGCAAACTCGCCGTCGCCGCAGCCAGCAGGGTGGCCGCCAGCGTCGGGTCTGTGTACATCGCATACGGCCATGCCATTGCCATCCTCTGGCGTTTGTCTTTCATACGACGATTCTGGAACCAAACCTGCAATTACATGTATCACATCATGTCACGAACTGACGTTAAATTTCTAACTCCCTCTGCTCTCCTTTCTCGAATTTTTATCGTAATTTATCGTAGGAAGCGTCGTGTCGCGCTTCGATAGCTCTGAGTTGCAAGGAAGAAAATAATTGAAAGGTAATTTGGAGTGCAAAGGGAGGACACGTTTGTAAATCGGAATCGGAGTTGAATGTTTCAGGGGGGTGGAAAGAGAAAATTTCACTCTCTTTTAGGACTTAACGCTGGAACTACCGATTAGAAACGTAAAAAGAAATGAAATATATAATAATCTATATATATATATATATATATATATATATAATTCTCTAAATATATTAAAATACACTATATTTCACGTCCGTGAAATATGCAACAGAAATTGCAAATTGGTCGTTTCTGACCATTTTGGTAGTCCCAGTGTTAACGCATCGAAGATTTCGATGCTATTGAAAGGAATGCGAGTCTGATCGATCTTAGGGTACAGACTCGATGCAAGAGTTGAAGCGTAAGAGCATTTGTTGACTGATAGGAGGTGAGCTATCTATCCGCTTTGTCCTTCTACGTCGTCTCTTCAACTCTCAACATCCGGTACGGCACGGTACACCCGCGGATGCTGACCGCGGTGCCTAACGTTTCTACCATTTAACACCTCGATCATTTCCATCGGTAGATGGTTTTATAGCCACTGTGCGGCCGAGGTAGCGCGAGATGAGAAATTAAGGGATCCATTAAAGTCGAAAGGTAACACGGGAAAACCGCTAATTAAAGTGTTTAACACCTCGAACCGGATCGACCGGTCGTGGCCGAAAGAAATTAAGAAGTCACGGGAAAAGGATCATGGGGGATCCAGAGGCGAACCAAAAGACCGAGATGCTTTTGTTTGCCCTTCGTGATTGATTGTTTGCTCGAAACGTCGAGGCCAAAAAAAGGGTGGAAAAGAAGCGAGAGAGAAGAAGGGAAAAGAATCTGAGGGGGCGAGTCTCCTTCTCTCTTCGAGTTATAATCGCCGATCAAACATGGCGGTGTCTGTAAAAACGAGCGACGCGACGCACTGTGATTCACGCGTGGAAAAAGAAAAAACTCCTAATTGCCACGATTAAGCGTTCTTCGTATTGGTTCGCCTCGATACACTCTCGCGTATGTGTGTGTGCGTGTACAAATTTCTTTTCTCTTTCGTCGAAAGAAATTCGATCGAGGGAATCGAGAAGAATTGCGCAAGAGTGGAACGAAACGATACCCAAGGCTTTCCTCTTTTTTTTTTTTTTTTTTACGTGTCTTCGTCGCTTCGTCGATTACCGGTATTAATTAAACACGGAGAGGTGTTAATAAAACGCTTTTCTGCGTGCGCGGCCGGAAGGTGAGCTCATTGTTTACTGAAATTTATTGCGATACGTTTGCTTATCCTCGATAAATATTCCGTGGTAGAAGCGCGAGGAGAGCAGCGGGACGATTTGTCTAATTGGTTGTCTTTGATAATTAAAGCCTCTAACTACCTTGATCGTCGATTCCGGCAGCTGTAATTGTGCAGCCAATTCGCATCGCCTTGGTCTGCTTACGTAGTTCTCTCTGTGAAACTCTTTCTCCAAACGCGACAATTGTTCCCTGGTAAACGCTGTCCTGTACCTTCTTATGTTCTGATCTACTGACGATAACGCCTGTTGTTGTTGTGACGGCGACGTGCCTGTAACAATTCGAAATCTAACGTTAACCGTCTGAAGATTTCCTTTAAAAATTCGTTCAATAAGATTTACGCACATTCGCGGGTATTTTCACATTCTTCCGTTTCGATGACTTCCATTTGGTTGAATGTTGAAAACAAGGAAAGAGCAAGGCGAAGAATTCGGGGTTGGGGGGGGAGAGGGAACGCTTAGCGTCACGTCAGGCCCCCCCCCGCAAAAGATCAGCTCTTGAGGCCGAAATAAGAGTAGCCGGAACTAAAAAAAAATCTTTCCAAATACTACGCGAAATTCGTGCGGCCGATTGTGCCGACAATCGGACACGCTGCGATTCGTCGCGACGTGAAATAGTCCAGTCACACAGAGGGGGTTCGTTCTCGATGCGGTTACACGTTGTCACTGTCGAGAAGCAGCAGGTGATCGCGTTTAAAATCGTGTAAACAAGGATAGAGAAAGGACAGAGAGAGCGAGACAGAAGAGATCTCGGAGGGTGGCTAGGCTGCTCTCCTTCGTCCTGTCGGCGTCCTTTTATCGTGATTCTCTTCGGTTTGCCGACAGGAGAACCCGATTCTCTCTCGAATAGTGAGAAAAAAGAAAAAACGAAAATTGCACTTTCTTTACAAACCGCTAGTTACGTACTCGTTCACTCTCTTATAATCAGTACACTATTGTCGTGTGTTGACTGTTGCTTGAAGCTGATCAAAAATGACACGGTCATTTCAGTGAAAATTAAATACAAATCTAGAAAACGGGAGATCGTCGGCGTTGTTGGTTAAATAATATTAGAATCCGACACGGGAAGCGTAAGTTCAAAACCACAAGACAATATCCTGAACTGATGGACAAAGAAGATACCGTCCGAAAACCGATGAATAAACACCACTCGATGTGTGACCTGAGGATAATCCTCTAATAATGAAATATAACGCCACTCACACCGGCCAAGAGACTAATGGGACACAACAGGGAAAAGATCTGTAAGAGATTACAGATCGGATGAATCGTACTAAAACTTAGAATTAAATTAGACTAAAATCGTATGACTCGGTACAAATCTTAGAAATTGTCAGCAATAAACGTTACAGTCCAGATTGACAATGAATGGCTGTAGGATGATTACCGCAATAAAGTTCCTGACAGGTATGATTTCTGACGTTTATTTTCGTTAAGTGAAAATCTAATAGCACTCTAAAATCATCAGTCGGTCCAGTTAAAGAGTCAGTTGAATTTTGTTCGTGTTAATCTTTAGCTCAGCTATTATTATCTTTATAATGTTGACTTTCTTCTTTCTTAATTGTACTCTAGGAAATATAATGGAATCTTTACACTAATGGAATTCCGTCGGTAAATACCTCTTACACCTAGTATGTTCCATTCAATTTCAAGTCCGACACATCTACAATACTTGCCAAAAATAATTCTATTCTTCCTCTCGGAAACTGGTACTTCCTTCCCTTTCCCTTTTTGTCCCTGAGTTTGCTTGGACAAAACTTTGGGAATAAACATTGGAACAACAGGTTCTTCGATTGACGATATGATTTTCGAAAGTCAACGTTCGCGCGAGGAAGATGAAGAATATCCATAACCACTTGTGCGTTGAAATGTTTGAAAATACTTGGCAAACAAAAGTTGCGATATTTTCAGTATAATTTTCTCAGTATAATCCAGGCAAAACAAATAATAAACTTATTACTTCTAAGTAATTTCTATCCAATGGTACACCGATGAATTCAAAAAGAAGACGATTTACGGCTTGGTCACTCGTTATGGTCCGTTATTGGTACCACAGGTTAATACTTAAGAAACTTTTTCATGCAATGATTTTCACCTTTTTCCGGAGTTTTTGGTATATTCCCTGGCGGCGGACTGTGCGGGGGGCTGAGTTGATACTGCGGTGGTATAAGGTCCACCACTATCGTTTCATCCTCCCTGTGTTCCTTTTGCTGATCGTCGAAATTCCTCTGGTAGCCTTGCATTTTCTCCTCTTCTTTTTTTCTGTGTCCACTGATGCCACTGTTTTTTTTTTTTTTTTTACACACTTGTCAAGCAAGGCGGCGGATTGATTTTTAGACTAGATTTTACTCGTAGAAAAATGTGCACAATTAGTATGCCAATTTCCAGACCTTCTTCGTCCCTTTTCTTAAAATACAATAAATCGCGGACTTCACTTTTACAGACTGTTATTAACAAATTAAAACAACATTGTCGTCGCGTTATGACAAATATAAACTATATTATATTTACAACAATGCCGCTCCACTCGCAAACGATAAGGTACTGATAAACTTTGTTAAAACAACACGGTAAGAGACGACAATTCAACAGACTGCGTACTGAGAGACTGAAGGAACTAACTGGTAAAACAGGAATTTATATAACCTTGCCAATGCATGGAGGAGCCATCCTTTCGTCACGGTTCGTGATTGGTCAGTTGCCAGTGTATCGCCATCCAATGGGATGATACCAGCGGTTCTGCCTATTTTCTCCCCTTTAACCCTACTCTTCTTCCCCTTTCGAAGATACATCTCTCTCTCTTTCTCTCTCTTGTTCTCTCGCTCTCTCGCTCTCGAAGAGATAAGGCAACAACATTGGTTTATGCATGCAAGTTTGCGGAAATTATCTGTCGTTATTTCCTCCGGCAAATTCGGTCGAATTGCCCCTCTGTGAACTTCCGTGCGCTGATCAACTTCAATTTTCCACCCCTTTTCCGCAAGTTCCACCCTTCTCTTCTTTTCTCTTCGCCGCCACGTCGATATCGCGTTGCCGCGGAGAAACTCTTCGAACCTCGAGCAAACGTGTCCGACGATTGATCCACCAGTGTTACGGCCGGGGGCGTTTATTAACACATTCTCTCTGACGATCATTCGGATTCGTGCCATCAGTCGATGGGGAAACCTGTCGAGGGAACGCCTTTTCGAAGGTGTTTTATTGTGCCAGCGAACTGTAGAATTACTGGGAATTAAAGGTTAATTGCTTGGTACATATATACATAAATACGTATATATACATAAACACACACGTACGTATACATTACATATGCATACCTGTGCAAACATTCGTAAACTAATCTTTAGCTTTAGTTTTTTATTTATTACCAGCAGATGAAAAGATAAAGAACTATATTTATATACAAGAGCATTTCATGTTTATATATCTGTAAGTTGTTTCATATGGTTTTCCTTTCGTTTATGTTCAGTTCAGTTTATTCTATTCTATGGTATAAGGAACAAAATTATTATGCGATAAGTAGCTTAGTTAAGTATTATTAGCAATTAGTAGCTAGTAGAAGCAGTATGTATGGAGGAACAGAAGGAGAGGAATTTTGCAAGGCAATAGGAAAATTAATAAATATCTATCTATCTATTATCAGCGGATAAAAATTTCAATTTGAGGAAAAAGATGGAAATCCCCCCCCTGAAAGACCAAAGTCATAAAAAGTTAAAGAACTCTGGCTTCTTATCATTATTATAGCGGTTGTTCTCGTAAAACCTCTTTGCTCTGTTTCAAAACGACCGTACGATTGTAAAAACTGTATCACTTCCTTTTGTCACCTTTCCACTTCCTTGTTGCTCCTCCGAGTATGTGAGAACGTCGCCTCTTGAGCATTGACGCTTCATTTCGTCAAAATGCGACGAAACGCTCCTAAAAATGATCGTAGTATTAGATGCAAATACGAAGCGAAACTTGTTAATTGTTAAACTAACAATAAGCAATACTTCGCTTGCTAAGTGATACTTCATCTACAAGTTTTTTGTAAAATCGAATGATCTCGTGTGCGAAAAGAATGACGAGGTAATGAATATTGTAGTAGCTAATAGGTTTGTATATATGTACGTTAGATTTTTTCTTTTTTTTTTTTTTTTTTTTTTTAAATTACATAATCACAAATACTTGACAAACATGTATAACTAAAAGTAATAGTACCCGACCTTGGATTTATTACTCTATGGTTAGCTAATAGTAAAAAGGGAAAACATCTTTCGTAATTTTCATTTTTCGAGAGTTTCTCGAAAATTCAGGTACGCTGCTGACCATTATAGGTGCCATTTGCTGGGCATTATCTCCAGAGATGAAGAAAAAGAACAAAAACTCCATTTGTCATTTTTTCCGTTATTTGATCAATTATTTTATTTCGTGCAACATCGGACATGTCAATAAATCACAGCTGGAAAATTTCGAGAATTCTCCAGGTATGGCAGAGTGGCAATATCTGGGAAAACGACAGGCACGCCATACTGAAAATTGTATCAGAGATTGCTAATAATTTTTGCACGACCGGGATCGTTCGACGTTTACGACGACACCGACAATCTCTGCTTCTTGTTCATTTTTAATCAGTCTGTTTCGCCGACGAACGAACTCCGAGGCACGCTTTGATTCGACTTTAATTCGCCTCCGATTGCAGGCGAAAAAAAAAAAAAAAATAAAAGATAAAGGAAAATGACGCGTTATAACGCGTGTGCGCGAGCGAATTGGACGGGTACCGCGGATTAAAGTTTCTCGAACTTTACAGCCGTTAAAAATTAATAAGAAACTTTGATAACCAAAATTTAATCGACCTATGTGTTTTTAGAAAATATTGGAATATCAGAATATTATAGTAAAGACTCTACGATTTTTCATTATATTGCGGTAATAAAATTTAAGATTGCCGAACACCCCAAAAGAATCCTCAGTCCAACTGACCACAGGACTCGATTCCTAGAATTAAATGACCACTACGTCCAACACAGCAAGATTTACTGATGGGTCAAAAACGGACACTGGAGCTGGATACACTATTATCACAGAAAAAGCCAAAAAAACACAAACTGTCTCTTCTTCATCGTCCATCTTCACAGCCGAAACTTATGCCATCCTGGAAGCCATTAAATATGCACACTCAAATAACGAAGCCCAGATCGTCATATACATCGACTCTGATATGAGCGTTACAAAATCCCTAACGAAATTATATGACCAAGAAAACCAACTAATATCCATCATCCAAGAACCTAACACAAACACCACAGTCATCTGGATTCATCCAGCTCATCAAGGAATAGAAGGAAATGAAAAAGCCGACGCAGTAGTGAAAGAAATCACAGTTCCCTGACTTACAAAAGAGTAACGAAAAATGAATGGAACAATACATGGAAAACAACTAAAAGCACCCAACTACACAAAAGTATCCAAGACTTTCACCGGCAAACACCAAACTTCAACAACAGGAAAGAAGGAATAATTATCTCACGCCTAAGAAGCGGTCATACCAAGCTGACACATGAACACAAAATTAAAAAAACTACACCACCCACCTGCACTTATTGCAATAACCATCCACTGACAATAACGCACATAGTGCACGAATGCCACACCACAGAAACCCAAAGACAGAAATACGGAATCAACGCAAACATAAACCTGACTTTTCAAAATGACATACAAAGAGTATTAAAAATATCTCAAAAACATAAACTATTACACACATAATAATTAACATAATTAATAGCACCGTCGTCGCTAATGACCTCGCTGTTGATGCGATATTAAAGAAAAGCAGAAGAAAAAGAAGAAGAAAATTTAGCCCCCTCCTCTAGAACATTTAAGTTTACTCTTTAATAATTACTTTAAACGCTTTAAGTCGGTTCATTTTGTCTACGTATCGTTCGAGAACAATTCAGTTCCGAGACGAATCTATTTAAATACAAATTAAAGGATTTTACAAATTAGAATTCGCCGATAGCGGAATAAATGGCAAGTAATTATCCTAGAGGGACGCTCGTAATGCTTAAGAATAATTGGTTAACGACTAAGGCCATATTACTCTGTGCTCATTAGTACTCTCGAAAAGCAAAAATTTCGCTACGATATAATTTATTGTTGTAATTCATATTTTATTGGTCTTTATTCAGGAGAACGGTAGGTAAAACAATATGGCGGATCTTTGTTTTCCTACATTGAAAACACTGGCATTATTCCTCGCGCATATTTTACAGCCGGAGGGACTTGGCTTTTTTATTGAAATACAGCCTGGCTGTTAAATCTGGAACATTTATTAGTTTCGTTTTATTAATTCTGGGTTCGGGCCCTCGTTGACCGAATTTAAAACGCAGTGACGCAACCCTCATTATGCGACCGTTGAGTTTCCCAAAGGGAACAGTCCAATTCGAAGAAATTGCGAACTGGTCTTTACGGTTGTCGTACGTTTCTAGTGAATTTTCGACGACCGAATTCTCTTTTGTCGAATTTGAAATCATAACGATTGAACTCTCAATAAAATTCGCCAATTCTTCACTAATACGATAATAGAACTCATAGATGTGCAGACGATTCATCTCGAAATGACAATAATTGCAATTATTTGCTTTCGGAAAATTGATTCTTGGGATGATGGACGAAAGATGATTGATTATAAATTATTAAGATAGATGACACGAGCGTAGCGAATACTCTTGAACCAGTGATTTTCGTGCTACGAAATATTCTTAGGACGTAAACAATAGGATTATGATGCGATGATAGTAGCTTATGACCTGAAACAAATTTCTCAGATCTTACAAACGTGTTAAACAGACTTAATTCCTACAAAGGCATAATTCCTACGCAGGCTCAAACGATTATTTGCAGAGAAAATCAGCTGCCTCTTTTCTTTTCGCGAAAGAGTTTACAGGTGTTTTACAAAAAATCGACTTCTTTGAGATTTTTTTCTAAGGAGATTTTTTTCTTTCGGAGGAGATTTTGGTATGCAGTTTTCCCACGCAGATTCATTCATACTTAGAGAGTATTTACAATTTCTTTTTTTAACGAAATTAATCAAAGTTGTGGAAATTATATAACCTTAGGTAAAGCATGTTTTTAAAGACAGGTTTGAATGGTTGACGTGATCCCGGTCCACCTGGTTATTTGAAACTAAAAAACCAAAATGTATCTTAATTAAAAATGTATAAATATGGCTATCGCATGAACCATGGAGACAGCAAAATTTCAAAACTTAAAAAAATGGCAG